GAAACCAAAAATGCTTTAAATTGCATTTTAAAACATATCTAGGTATTATAAATGATAAAAATGCTAATATAGATATAAAATCGATATTTTTTTTGAAAATAGCCTACTATGATCGAAACCAAAAATGCTTTAAATTGCATTTTAAAACATATCTAGGTATTATAAATGATAAAGAATGCTAATATAGATATAAAATCGATATTTTTTTGAAAATAGCCTACTATGATCGAAACCAAAAATGTTTTAAATTGCATTTTAAAACATATCTAGGTATTATAAATGATAAAGAATGCTAATATAGATATAAAATCGATATTTTTTTGAAAATAGCCTACTATGATCGAAACCAAAAATGTTTTAAATTGCATTTTAAAACATATCTAGGTATTATAAATGATAAAGAATGCTAATATAGATATAAAATCGATATTTTTTTGAAAATAGCCTACTATGATCGAAACCAAAAATGCTTTAAATTGCATTTTAAAACATATCTAGGTATTATAAATGATAAAGAATGCTAATATAGATATAAAATCAATATTTTTTTGAAAATAGCCTACTATGATCGAAACCAAAAATGCTTTAAATTGCATTTTAAAACATATCTAGGTATTATAAATGATAAAAATGCTAATATAGATATAAAATCGATATTTTTTTTGAAAATAGCCTACTATGATCGAAACCAAAAATGCTTTAATTGCATTTTAAAACATATCTAGGTATTATAAATGATAAAGAATGCTAATATAGATATAAAATCGATATTTTTTTGAAAATAGCCTACTAGGATCGAAACCAAAAATGCTTTAAATTGCATTTTAAAACATGTCTAGGTACTAAAAATGATAAAGAATGCTAATATAGATATAAAATCGATATTTTTTTTGAAAATAGCCTACTATGATCGAATCCAAAAATGCTTTAAATTGCATTTTAAAACATATCTAGGTATTATAAATGATAAAAATGCTAATATAGATATAAAATCGATATTTTTTTTAAAAATAGCCTACTATGATCGAAACCAAAAATGTTTTAAATTGCATTTTAAAACATATCTAGGTATTATAAATGATAAGTCTGGTGCCGCAAGAATTTTAAGAAAATTACCATTTTTTCTAGGTTTTCCAACTTTGACAGCTTCAAAACTACTGAAAATTTGAGAATTTCCCCTAATTGCTTATGTTGTGTGATTAAATGGCAAAAGAATTATTTTCCGAGACCCTTATGGCTCGGCTCTGACCCTGATCACCAAATTTGTAGACCCAAAAAAGACGTTTTTTGGCGTTTTGAAGGCATAAATGATGTCCAAACGTAAAAGTTTATGTACAGAAAAATCCGGCCTCTTAATACACACATTTTGATACCCTTTGAGATTTTTAAAAATGAGTCCTTCAGGCTGTATTAAAAAAGTGTGTTTTTCGTGAAAATAATAACTTACACGCTTTTGCGTGGAAGTTAATTTACTAAAATTTTAAGTTAATTAAAGTTTCATCTGGATTTCAACAGAACTGAGACAAGAAAATAGTTGCCGAAGCACTATTTTCATCTATTAAACTGTAAGCATCATGAATACAATTAAATTGTGAACAATCTTTCAGAAAAAACAGAAATTCATCACTAAAATAAAAACCAGACAATCCACTCAGAGAAACAAAGCAACAACCATCAAAATACTGCGTTCCACAGAAGTGTGAAAATAAAAGTACACTCAACATAAAAGCTCTTCTACCACCTACGAATTGTATGTGATATATTCATGATAAACAAAATTCCTACACTTGTAAGGATAAATCAAAGAATCGTACGCGTCCTTTTTCATCCGTACTCACTTTATGTGTCAGTGACATCCAACATAAGAACGTGTGTGCGTGTCAAGTGCGGTTTTATAGTCATATAAGCACAAAAGTCAATAAAATTGCCCCCAATGAAGCTCTTCTTCATCTTTTGATGCTGTAAAAGATCTCTTACTAAACAAAATACAAAATAGGAAGTATTGAAATTGAAACAGATATAAAAGGATCATTGTGCTTCAACTATATAAACAACATGCACAGAGATAGATAGTGCTGATATCGGAAGTATATCGGAAACCGTAAATTGTCGAGAGCTTAGGTGTTTTTGCATTTTTGGCAAGAAGCTATATTGATCTGCAAAGCCACGTACAGTTTGTATTTGATTTGAAAGTGAAATTTGAGAAAATAAATTTGCCATCATTCAATCTCAATTTTACCGCAAAGGATCCTGTTGATTGTGTGGTTTCTTGGTAAACAATAAATTATCTTTATTGACGGCTTGTGTCACATTCCATTCTATTTTTGTTCGTAATTTTGGATTGGATGAGGATTTTTCGTAAATATTGCAGTTTTATTAGAGTAACAGAGCTGGAATAGTGGTCATTGAGGTATATTCAACTTCAGCAAGAGGTAAAACGCTTCGTTGAAGGTTATACAACCTTAGTAAGGGGAATATAGCTTCATTAAGGGGTATACAACTTCAGAAGAAGAAGCAAAGCTTCATTGAAGGGGGATACAGCCTCAACAAGAGGAACATAGCTTCATTGTTGGGTATACAACCTCAGCAATGGAAAATAGCTTCATTAAGAGGTATACAATTACAGAAAGAGGGCCGTAGCTTCATTAAGGGGTATACAACTTCAGAAAAAGAAGCAAAACTTCATTGAATGGGTATACAGCCTCAAAAAAGAGGAACATAGCTTCATTGAAGGGTATACAACTTCAGAAAGAGAATCATAGTTTTATTAAGGGGTATACAACCTCAACAAGAGGAACATAGCTCCATTGAAGGGTGTACAAACTCAGCAACAGGACATCTTCACGAATCCCTAAAAATACATACCTCGATAGAACAATGTGAGATTCATTCCATAAGTGATAAATTAAAATGACAGGAGTATCAAGTGTGGGAAATTGTAATTTATAGCCAAATAAATTTCTTCTATATAAACTGACAAATTGAATGACTAATGAAGTGCTTCTATTATTGCGACTGTGATATGGATCCCATTTTTAGACAATTTGTGTGGAGTTTCGTTTCGTGTCTAATAAATTTACGAATCAATACGTCTGTCAAAAAATTCTTTTCTGTTACCACATGAGACATCGTTGTCATGTTCAATGCGAATTACCTTCTGGAAAGGCATAAAGATGACATTATTATATTTGTATTCTTGTGGATTATAATATTGATACCATATATAAACCACATGTATGCCCAAATGGCGATAAAGTGACACGAGAACATAATTTTGAGATTAAATTGGCTTTTAAAACATTGTTTCTTAAATTGTTGCTGTGGAAGGATTCGATAGTTGATTCAGTTTTTCATCACTGGAACATACAATCGAAGTAAGCATTATAGGAAGATGAAGGAACGACTTAGAGTTCCAGAACGAAGACAAATAAAAGCGCTGTAGTTTTTATTGAAAAATGACAAACGGCAGTCAGCGAAAGAGCAAGATTTAGAGTACAACTAATGGAAGACATGGATCACAACTGATGTAAACAGCTAGTGAATTTGGTAAGTAACCAAGAAGTATAAATTTCGAACATATTAACAATAGATCTACAATTAAGATACAATCTGATACGATCAATTCATGTTCTACAGACTTATCGAAAGTCTAGGGGGGGTTATAATATGCACGTTCGAAAAGTTTAAATTTGAAAAAAACCGTTACAATTTTGTTGATTTTATTGGAGTTTTTGATGTTTTTGAAAAAGATGTAGCTATATTATGCTTATCATTAAATGACTATATAAATCTTTCTTAATTTAAGTTTTAATTTTTTCCTAATTTTCGAAAATTTCGAACTGCAGGGTATCAAACTTCGAATTTTGTATGGCAGACAGACCAATAAGACATTTTCACAAGTTTTCTTGGAAACTGTAACGGTCGAAACCATCAATTTTTCGTATCAGGATACAATATGATCCAGGAGGTAGTTAAGACCCTAGGGATCTAATCCATCATCCCCTCACTCGATCCATTACGACATTAAGGATCGATTCATATTTAAGAGTACCAAAAAATTCAGATAGATGAGATTAAAAACTTTAAGAGTCGAAAATCTTACAAAATCTAATTTTAAAGATAATTATAGAATGTAACAAGACTGCAATTTCTATTTCTATTCTTTACAGACATGCTGTTTTTAGTTATTTTGAATTACAATGTTGATTTGAATTTATTAATAGCTTTATATTCGAGATTGAATTTAGAACTTAAGTAAATTGCTCTGTCTGATCTGTCTCATGCATTCGATCATTTGAGCAGTCATTACAAAGCAGCACATCTAACAATCTAGAATTGTTATTTTAAAGACAGCATTCAGACATCGAAAAATTTCTTTTTATAGTCCTTTAATATACTAAAATTTCATGAATTTCCTTTAACACAGCACAATTTTTCCTCGTACCGTCACATAAATCAACGACACAGAGTTCATTGAAACAACATAAATTTTACATCTGTGTAACATTATGAGCTATCTGTCTCCTTAAAAAGTGTATCTGATAATAAATTGAGAATATTTCTGTTTAACGGTTTGAAAATTATTTGAAATATTGAGAACATTATTGTCATGTGCTGGACGAGAACTCACTGTAAATGATTTGTGAAAAGTGGGGATATTCAAATTTTTGAATAGGTTATTGACCTTAGATTAGGAGTGATCCATAGAATAGCTTTCAAAATATATAATTTTAATGGATTCTTCGAATTTAAATTTGTAACGGATTTTTGAAATTTGAATTTATAATGTTTAATTTTTTAAGCAAATTTTCAAAAGTAAACAAACTTGCAATTTTATTTAATTTTACTAATTTTGAACTAGTTTTAAGCTACAAAGTCTAATCCTTGAATGTTTATTGTTTACCAACAAACTTGTTATCAGCGTAAACCGAAAAGTTGTAATCAAATAAACGTGTTGCAGCGTCAATATTAATCTTTGAATTTATTTATAACAATTCCGTACACAATTGCTCTTTACTTCATTGTATTGTATATTAATTGATAAGTGAGCTATAAAAATATATAAGTGCTTTCTATAGTCAATTCTGCTGCATTCGTTTTTGAGTTACGAGATTAATCAAACCTGTGAAGTGCTTTAAAATAAGTCATTCATTAAAAATGGCACCAAACGATAATTTAACTGCTGTCCTATATGGAATCGAAGATCTAAGGTTGGAGAATAAAGATATTCCAAGCATTAAGGATGACGGTAAAGCACTTTTGTTGATATTTAATCTAATTGTCCATCACTGGATCTTTTTGAAAACTTACAGAAGTCTTATTGGAAATGGATTGTGTTGGAATTTGTGGCAGTGATATTCATTATTTGGTTCATGGAAGAATTGGAGACTTTGTTGTAAAAGATAAGATGATTATTGGGCATGAAGCAAGTGGAATTGTTCAAAAACTAGGGAAAGACGTAAAAAATCTTAAAGTTGGCGATCGAGTTGCTATTGAACCAGGCGTTTCATGTCGTTTATGTGAATTCTGTAAAACTGGACGATATAATTTATGTCCCGACATGAAATTCTGTGCTACACCGCCTTATGATGGAAACTTAAGAAGATATTACGCTCATGCTGCTGACTTTTGTTTCAAACTACCCGATCATGTCACAATGGAGGAAGGAGCTCTTCTTGAACCACTTTCGGTCGGTGTTCATGCATGCAGAAAAGCTAATGTTCAACTTGGCGACAGTGTCTTGATTCTAGGCGCAGGTCCGATCGGTTTAGTAAGTTTAATTTGTGCTAAGGAAATGGGAGCATCAAAGGTCATCATAACTGACCTCCTTCAATCGAGACTTGACGTAGCTAAGGAACTTGGTGCTGATTATACATACGTAATTCCAAAAGATGTTACTGAGGATGAACTTGTCAAGAAAATTCATGAAACACTTGGAAATGCACCAAATAAATCAATTGACTGTAGTGGTGCTGAAGCTACAAATCGCTTAGGATTACAAGCTACAGCATGCGGTGGATGTTTTGTTATTGTAATATCCAAGTTTTTATGCTTTAAAGTGTAGATTAATTGCATTACATCATTTACAGGTCGGTTGCGGTCCACCAGAAGTAAAGCTCCCACTTGTCGCCGCTATGGCACGAGAGATTGATATTCGTGGTGTTTTTCGGTACGCAAACGATTATTCAGCTGCATTAGCACTGGTCTCGTCTGGAAAAGCCAATGTCAAGCGATTAATAACTCATCACTTTGATTTGACTGAAACACTCGATGCATTCGATACATCACGTTATGGAAAAGGTGGTGCCATAAAAGTTATGATTCATTGTCAGCCACGCAACAAAAATAATCCAAAAGCCTTTTGAGATCTCCAACCGAGTAGTTGCAGTTGATTTTTTTCCAGTTTGTGGGAAATGAAAATTAATGTTTTACTTTTTTTTGTGTGTGTGTGTGGATATCCATATATACTCACAGTTAAAGCTGTCGACCATAAATCATCCTTTGTGGCATGAATGCTGAACAAATAGCCAATAAAAGAATTTATTTTGTCGTGAATCCTTTTCGTTCATAAATTTAAATACATTCTTTGTGCTGTGAGCTACTCTTTCCACAGTACGAGTTTACAATTTTTGTTGTAGCTGGATTTTCAAGAACGAAGCATTGATGATGTGTAAGTTTGGATGTTATTAATATTTGAGCCGCTAAATTTTTGACAAACGGTTAAATTTTGAATTTTTGAAAACCGGTAAAATTTGAAATTTTGAAATCCGTTATATTTTAAATTTTTTGAACCGTTAAATTTTGAAAGTCGTTAAATTTTCTTAATCATTCCAAAATCTATAAAATAAACAGCACTTCTACCCACTCATTCATGAGTAATAGCTCTCCAACTTGCTCACTTAATTTATTTCATTCACTTCATCAATTGAGAATTTTTTATTTGCATTTTTTTGAAGTCATAAAAGAATCCACTTGAAGCTATAATAATTTCACATCCCTCCATTGGCATCCTGCAGCTTCCATCCTTAAATAAAAACACAAAACTGATCCTTTTTTTTATTCTGATTTTATTTTTTAATGAATAATAAAATGTTTTTTTTTTTTTTTTGCAATAATAAACAAAGCTAGTAATGAATAGCATGTCTGCATTATTAACAAAGAGTACGGAGAATGGAATCTCGACTCTTTTGTGCAATTATGTTAGCATAACTTTTATTCATCAGCATGCATGCTTTCTACCTTACAATTGGAAAATATATATTAAAATATGTCATGATATGATAATAATAAAAAAAAATTTGGATATGATGAAAAATAAGTTTCAATGATATTTTGGAAGCTCCAAGGATATTTAAATAAGTTTAAATTGACGCAAAATCTTCATCATTAATATCGAAAATTCTTTAAAAAAGGTAATAATTTTGCCTCTTGTTGAGTTTAATTTTTTTTTCATTCCTTTTTAATAATTAGGCACTCGAAATATTATTCACTGGAATATTGAAGGTGCTTGAAAATTCATTTCTCGATTGCTTACTTGATTCTGAGGGAGTAAAAGAAAGGTTGCAATTTTTATAACAGCATGAACGTGCTTTAATGTTTCAGTTGAATTTGAGAGTTAACAAGATTGTTGGAACGGATTTACACTTGTTCAATAAAAGATAAAGGAATTGAAATTTTAAGCATGCCAATACTGATACTTAATTTTACCCAAGGACTATGAAAAGCACGCTGTCAGTTAAACTATAAATATTTTTAATTTTTTCCGCATTTTTTCGATAATGTTTACGAAAGTTCGAAAATGATTTTTTTCATAAATTCACAAAATTTCATATTTAAAGACAATTTCGGTTCTGTTTAAGCGTGTTGCTGTAATTATTAAGTGATAATAATCGATTTGCAACAGTCATTGTTTAAATTATGCTTCAAATAGATGAAAAATTTGCAATTGAAAATTTTTGTCATAAATTGTAAACAAACTTGTTTTGTTGACAAAAATTGGAAGATAAAATTTGAATCAATCAAAAAAACATTTTTACAGCCTTATAAAACTAAAACCACTTAAATACAATATAATTAAGTAGTTTTCAATCTTTACACGTGCATTTTAAATTGTAAAAACAATAGAATGAAAAAAATTATAACGTAAATGAAAATTTCAAAATTTTGCCGTGAAAATTTTCTGACAAAATTTTCTTCTCTTCGAGTTCGAATTTTTATCAACTATCCATAGTCCTTGGAATTTTACTTTGAAAAAGAATTGGAAAAATGTTAAATTTGCTTAAAATATTTAATAAAAAATCCGTTAATTTTGAAATCTGTAAAATCCGCTTGAAATTCAAATCTGAAAAGTACGTTAAAAATTCAAATTTGTAGTTCTTAATTTCAGATTCTTAATTTTCAATTTATCCTTTCTGTTTTCTTGTCCCAATAACTTAAAATTTCATTATCACATCCTTAAGAAATGACAAGCACCTTCTAACATCCTCCTTAATATCCTCAATAACATTAGTTTTTTTTTCTCGTTTTTGTCAAGAATACAATATCAAAATGCAATAAACTTTTTAACATTAATTTCTTTTTAAAAAGCACAATTTCATTCCTATAGAGCCATTCTAATTTAAATAATGAGGAGAACTGGTTGTGTCGATGGAATCTTATCTGATGCAGCAATATGGATGGTATGAGATCTTTTTATCGGTCTCTAGCTCTATAATTTCTAGCAACGATTTATGGTAACTTTACATGTTCATTTTTCAAGTTTTTAATAATCGATATTTTGTAGCTGTTAATTATTTGAATACTTTTCGGTCGTTATTTGTCTCACTTAAATCAAGCTTTAATATTTGGAATTTCAGACACTGAAAGTGTTTTTTTTTTTAATAATGAACTTGGTTTTAACATACCTGCTACTGTTGCTCAATTTCAGCCAACAGTTTATCTCTTAAAATTCCATCGATCACCAAATCAATTGTTTTATGAAGAAATACTTAAAAATTCGCTATTAATACAGACATAGTTTTGTTTAATGACTCAAATCTACAGAATATGAGAAAAATGTGAGAGATTAGTACGTACATAAAGCGTTTTAATGGTTAAAATATTTTTCATTCCATTTGTGTAAAAAATTGTTTTCTTTTTTAAACTTATTATAAATTTTTTTAATTGGCTTGATTGCATGCAAAATCCTCTCTTCGTCCGCATTTTGTTACACGTATAAAAGCTTTTAAGTTATAAAATGTAAAATAAAGTTGTGCGATTCAATTCCAACATAAGTATGCTGCATTAGAACTTTTTTTTTCTGTTTGTGTGATTTTTTCAAAACGTCCTGAGTCTTGAGGCTTTTTTAATTGAGATTTTTCCTGTTATTTTTGTTGTAAATGCTTTAAAACTTTTTCATTATTATTACTTTCTATGTTGGCTTAATATTTTCTGTAGGAAGAGGAAAAGCACAGCTATATGTTAGTGATGAGGATATGAAGATGATTGAAGTTGGATTTAAAAATAAAAAAATATTCAAAAATTCAAATTTTACCCACTTTCAAAAATTTAAATTTTAACTGCTTTTGAAGATTCAAATTTTAACGGTTTTCAAAAATTTAAATCTTATCGGTTCAAAAAAATTCAAATTTTAACGGTTCAAAAAAATCAAAATTTAAACGACTTTTAGAGATTCAACAATTTCCACAAGAAACTTCAATCATCTTCAATACCTCAAAAATTATTCATTCATTAAGCATCATTTTGTCATCACTTGTTTAATCCATTCTAGGAGCAGTTGGTTGGTATGTATAAACAGGATAGCGTGGTGCAAATGATTCTTGATTGCCAATTAATCGTGTATGTTCATTATCATGCTTATCTTTAATAGATTTTGCATGGAAATCAGCTTCACTGAATGTTGGTGGTGGAATATTTGGATAAAGTGAATTATCGCCCATATTCCATCCAACGGCACCTCCTGAAGTTTCAGGCGAGACTGGCTGTGTAGGCATCATAGAAATGTCAAATGATTGTTGATTTGATGGTGGTTGTGGAGTGTAGTCTTTCAATGGAATCGTTCCAATTGCTAAAATTATGAATTTAATTAAAATTTGATATTATTGAGGAAGTGAGATGCTTACTGATAGGAATGACTCCATCCAAGTTTGTGTGGAATCCAGAAACTTCACAAACAACGAATAAGTCATAATGTAAGTCAATAATGCCACAATTCATCATATTTGATCCCGGAAGTGGAGGAATTTCCAAGCTTTGTCTAATTGTTCGTTGTTCGCCTTTATTAAATGGACCCAATGCAAGTTCTCCGATTGAATTCACCACATTTTTAGTCATTTTCGGTGATGTTGTATGGAAAGCTGTATGCTTTCTAAACTGGAACTTGACTTTCTCAAGATCCACGTTCGATTGATTGTCAATTTCTGCAATAATCGGAATTGATTGCCCAGATACATAGCCTGTTACTGGAACTGATACGATGACACTTAATGGCTGAGATGCACAGCACCAACAGCAGAATGTCTTTTCCATTGGAAGCTTGAAAGGCTCGCGTGCTTTTTCCATCATGTTCAAGTCAACAGGTGAGATTACCGTGAATGCCATTTTTGTGTCCTGATCAAACTTCCATGGTCGATCTACAAGCAACAAATGACATTTTTAACAACATTTAATTATATTAAGCAATTAATGTTCACCTAAAGTAACTTTAATTGTATAACGAACGTAGCCGAATTCCCCTTCAAAGCTACTTGGGAGCTGTGGAGGTAATGCACATGTGAATGGAAAGGAATGAGCACCAGCAGGCAGCTCAGTTTCAGCAGAATTGACACCGCCCATTAAATAGTAAGTAATTTGATAATATTCTTCATTTCCAGTCACTTCATTGCGACGCTCTTCTGTTTTTCCCGTTTCATCATTTTTGACCGATTCTGATTCCGTCCATTCCGTTTTAGCTTCGCCCAAAAACTTTATTTTAATGCCTAAAATTAGATGACATGCGAATTAGACACATTCAAAGACAACATAGTTATAAATTTGAGTACACGCATAAGTTCTAGGAAACCAAGTGGCATTTAGATACAAAAATAACATTGGATTACTTCATCACATTGGAATGTCTTTAATGATGTACAGTAGAACCTCTGATCTTCTATGTGCGATAAATTCAATCAATGTTAATTGAATGAAAAAAATAATTGGACCATACACACAATGCAGTAATTGTGGAGACGTGTCAAGGTCACACAAAAAAGTTGCTTCATTTTATTGGCCATAAAAAGCTTGCCAAAATTCTTGAGTCAGAGAATTTACTGTATTTTCGGTGATTTTAATTTCTCGGCAAATGTCATCATAAAATACATTACTAATCACGTCATTCAACTTACCTCGGACCTTTTTCGGCGAGTCGAAAGTGTAGGTAACGGTTCCATTAACAGTTTGTCTGTAAAATTGAATTAAATTAATTTGTTGAATTTTTTTCAATTCCATATTTGTAAATAAAATGAATTTTTGATATTTACCCAGCATAATACGTGTTGATTTGTGAATCCAATTTAATTTCACACTCTTTTAGACCCATTTTCACTGTTTAATGTTATTAATCACTGTTGCAAACTGAGGAAATATGTTTTTTGATTGAATTAATTTTTAGGAGATTCCACAATCCAAAAATGTAAAGGTGCCTTTACAATGAAGTGTTTTTAAATGTCAAAAGTTCGTTACACAATAGGTTAATTAATGTAGATTTTTGGATCCTTGATATTATATTCGGATTAAGGATAGAATTTCATGTGGTTAAACGCCTTTAAATCGTAAAATAAGCTTTAGTGGGAAGAGAAATAGTAAAAAGAAGATATATAAATACACTTGAAGTTGGATACTAGTCTTTTGGTTGGGTATTTTAAAGGGAACAAATTGCAAAAGAAAGGATTTCAATTTAATATTTTTGGGAGATATTTTTAAAAGATAAATCTTTAAATTTAAGAATAAATAGGATCCACTTATTCATATTAAATCTGATTTTTGAATGTCAAAAAATAAAACTCATTGTTTACATTAGTTGGAATACTTTTGAACTTTCAAAATGAAGAAAACTCTACATTGAAGGTTGTCTTTGTATTAAAACAAATTAAAATCAATCAAGACTCGATTCGATTGCAAAAACTTGAAAAAGTGTGCCATGATGTGAAAAATTTCAGTGAAAATTTGAAAATTAACGTCATCAGTCTCATTTTCTTGAGAATCAGCTGTTTGGATTCAAGCAAGTAGATTTTATTTTTAAAAAACATTATTTTGAACTTTCTTTGGAATCACGATCTTGAGTTTTTGAAATGGAAAACTTTCAAAATATTCAGACAATAATAAAGATATGAAACCACCGATTTTAATGCAGGTAGATGCATTTTTTCAATACTTAAATTCCCAAAAGATTAACAGCTTATAAAAATTCAAAACCTAAACTTAAGATCTACATAAAATCTACAAAATTTAAAAGCAAAATACATCATTTCAGAATTAGACGAAAAGTGAAGCAGTCAGTCTATTACAAAAGTTGACTCGATAAAAACGTGCAAAAAAATTATCCGAATGAAAATTTCAAGATAAAGAAACAAATATTACATCAGTTTTGTTTAATTCATGTTGAATATGATTAGTTTTTGACATTCAGATTTGTGATTGAGTTCTTCAATTAATAATTAGTGTTCTAATAAGCATTTTCTGTTCGGTTTAATTTAATAATAAGGTGAGTTTTTGACAAAAACATTTTTTTTTTCTTTAAAAATTTATTTCTACTGTGTCTGTATAAAAATATGGAGCTTTGGAGCTGCTTCCCGTCACTCACATCCAAACCAAAACAATTATGAGTGATTTTTATGGCATTTCCATGACTAATAATGACTAGAAAATTTCCGTAACAATAATTTACTTGAGTTTAAAGAAAATAACACGTTGAGGCTTACTATTTTTAAAAGTCTTTAAAAAATAAAATTTCAAAATGTGCATGGTTTGAGAAAAAGAAGAGATTTTTGTAGTAGCTAGTTACACACATACTATTTCCGTATATATTTTTCCATTGTGCGTTTTCTCTAACTCTGATCTACATTACAATATAAGTCGATGAAAAAGAAAACAGCAGCAATGGCAAGCAACAGCGTTTAGTGTCGTTGATCTATGTAATATAGAAATAATTCTTAAAATAAATCATTTTGTGCTGTTAGAAGAAGAGAAATTGCAAGGCAGAAGGAATTAAATTCAAGTTTTGTTGAAAAACCAGTTTTTATATTTATATTTTATTTTTTGTTATTGACTGACCGGCAACAAGAGGCTCATTTTCTGCGTTCTGTTGCCAAATCTTATTATACAGAAAACTCTAATAAGAGAGAGAGGAGGGAAGTACTATTATTAATACACATTTTATAAATATGATGTAGGCTTCGTAACCAGTTAAAGTCAGTCAAGTGATTTTTTTTTACATACAACTATCTACAGTTCATTATAATTGCTGATAAAATACTTTTCATTTTTTCTTCTTCTTTATTCGATCGACTTTGTTTGAGTAATTTACAGTGCATGCTACGCCATTTTAGCGCATTTAAATAGCATATAAATGCGAATTTTATGCTTATTTTGACTCTGTGACTTCTTCTTGGATATTCTCGATCGTTTTTTAGATCATCAACCATTTATTTAGGGGAATTCATTGTTAGGTTAGATTCTACTTTAAGTATCGGGGTCACGTATACGATTTCAAAGTAAAGAAAACGTAAACAAAGGCAATTTCCCGCTGAAAAGTTTTATTTGAAAATATTCAATACAAAAATATTATTTTTGGGAGTTGTTTTATTAGGTAGCAAAAAATGTAGATTGAAATTTCTGTATTGCCGGCTATTTTTAAAAACAATTGAATTTAGGTAATGTAAATATTTTGGAAATAAAATTGAATGTTGCGATTTACTAGATTTATACTGAAATTAATTTTTTCTTGTTAAAATCTTCAAATTGAATTTAAATTGAAAAATCAAGCTTAGGACTTTCTCTTTTAACTGGATTTACACTTAGTAAAGTTCAAAGTTGTGCTTTACCCTAGCACCAATTTACTAGTAATTTCCTAGTAATTTTCTGGATTGACCAAATGACAAATTTAGAACAAAATTTTTTATGACGCAAAAAATTCTTTTTTTGATGATTTTTCGGAAGATTCAAACTTAAGCAGATTTGATCAAACATTTTACATGGTAATTTGCGGTAAATAGCAAGTGTATTTTTTAACAGTAAGTTGTTTTAATAATAACTAGTAAATTGCAAGTTGTAGAATAGAAAGACTAGCAATTTGCTAAACATCTTAATTAATTGAATATAGAAGTAATTTTTGTCCTACAATCAGAAATTGAATGTCAAGCATTTTTGGCACTTATTGAGTTGCACTTAAATTCAAAAACCGTGTTTTAAACTCAAGATTCTATCATCAATGACGTTATCTAGGAACAATTCTGTCGAGAAAGTAAGAATTTTGCGTCAAAGATCATTTTAAATGTCAATCATTTTCAATGTTCTGTTGAAGCAAAGAGGTCTAGAAAAAATGTAATTACGGAGACTAAGAATCTGTTTTGATTAGTCGACCTAGATTGACTCAACTGCATACAAAAAATAAGTCGGGTTTGTTCTTTAATAGCAGGTAGCTATTAACAAATTATAAATGAGGCAACAAGCACAATTTTTATGTAAAAGAAAATCAAATTTTGCTTACAATTCAAATTTTTCAAAATAACAAACAATTCATGATTATTTTGAAACCACATCCTCAAACCACAAAGCTTTAACCTTAAAAACTTCTAAATCATCAAATCTATTAAGAAATTCGCCAAATAATCACTGAAATGATTCAAATCAATTAGAACCTTTAAAATCTTATTAGAAGAATCAAAACTTCCCAGAATAAAAAATCATCATCACTTTATTAATCAATTCATCACGTAGGAAATGCGCTGCAGTCATTTACCTTTCGAAAAACGATCAACCACCATTTCTTCTCCCATATCATTTTACATTGTTGCGTTTCAGCCTCTCTTGTATTCGAATTTATTTATATAAACGCTAATTTACATTTAGTGTCACTGAACCACTTGATATGATCATCAGCATCATCATCATCATCATCGAAAATAAACATACATGAGAGTCGAGACGTCTCTATGCGGACGAAGATTTTTGTTTCATCTCTGTTGAATGTTAAATGGCGATTGGTTAAGATGGAAAACGTACTTGTCGAAAACCGGCTGGAACTGGAACAACTTCATTCACAAAGAATTGTTTTTTTTTGGTTTGCCAAAATTAGTTTCAAATCATATGAAGGACATGAAGATACTGTTATCACATACGTGCGATAATATGATAATATGATTCGTCACCCGACTACCTCGTGATGAGCTTTTATCACTTTTTTCGACCACTTTATTATTTTCGTGGTGCAAAAATTTTTGATTGAGTGATTGATAGGTGTTCACGTTCTAGTAATTGGACACGTGAAATGATTACTTGTAGATAATTATGGGGATTTTTTATCAAATATAACCATAAATGGCAATTTCTCACACATTTTGATTACGGGTGGGCTGATGTGAAACAAAGAAAAAAACTAGTTTCGATGAAAACAAACTCATTATTCATTAGATTAATAGTTTTGGATGGTGACATGAGCGGTTTTTTTTATGAGGTCACATTGGACATTCGTAGAAATTTTGATAATTTGAATATTTGTGTTAATAATCGAGTGATCGGTTATTGATGTCTTGTCGTATTCATTTAATGGGATTATTTTGTTAGATTTTCTTATTATTGGAGTGTTGTGAGATTTGGAAGGAGATAAATATAGAAAATAAGGGTTTGAGTCTCCTCGACTAGGCTTTATCGTGAAAATCATTAAATTTTTTTGTTTAAATTATATTAAAAAAAAAAAAATTGCACATATTTTCTTAAACTTCAATTAGCTACTGAAAATTTTTTACAAATATTTTTGAGATTTGAACTCGTTACTGTTAGCGAATTTAATAGTTTTCAATCCTTCCTTGATTCTTATTTAATTTTTATTAGCTAAAACTCTTACTTGAATTAATAAATAAGGGCGATTCTACGAATGATTTTTTCTACAAATTTGTCTCCAAATCTATATTTCTCTTTATCAGTTGCATTACTCTCCATGTTTCATGTATTTAATAGTAGATTTTACCGAGATCTACATATTGTTCTCAACCCAAACAAATTAAAAATGGTTAATTAAAGAATTATTTACATTCTACGAAAAATTACTCTGTTTCACATGAATTTTTTCGCCCAAATTTCCAAAATGTTTTCATTAATATCTTTAAGGTGGTAAAATTTCCAGTAATACTAAGTATACAAAGTTATAGCTTAAAGTAAAAGCTTCAAAACGATGTCAAAATCATATTTGTGGAAGCCTTAATTAAGCTGCAATTTAGATTCTACGAAAAATTTCATAAGTGAAACAGAGTAATTTGAAGACAATTCCAAAAAAACTACCAAATATTAAAATTAAAACCATGATTTTCTCAAGCCATAGCCAGGGTGGGTGATTTAAATCAAAAATCAAAATCAAAATCATTTTGCAATGATTTTAAAAAGGGATTTTGATTTAAATCATTTTACCCAAG